CAGGGGTTTATACAGTGTCTTAGACCCAGAATAACCCTCTTGTTATTAACTCTGTACCATCTGACAGTACCCTCTATATGAAACAGACCAAGAATGTAGTGAATAGGTGACAAAAGACACCACAGAAACAAGTGATAACACAGTCCTATGTCTTTAATGGAAACATTTTGTTACAATTTAGGTTATGTGATATTCTTGCATCTTTAAAATGTGTGAAAGAAAATGCACAGAACAAAAAGTCAAAGGACACCAATGAATGTAGATATTTTAAATGACCAAGTCTTAAAAGAAATAAAATACATTACACAAATAAAAAAAAAAAGGTTATATCCACAGACATGAATATGCACTCTCCTCTACAAAAAAACAACAATAAATAAAATCACATTATATGCAGATAGTTCTACTTACATCAGTACAATATACTGTGCAGCTTTCCATTTGTTTTCTACTAGACCGGTACTAGGCTTCTCTATTGTCCAGTATTTTTACATTAATAACAGTATCACCGAAAAAAAAGGGACAAAGTTAATGTCCACAATATCTATCCTGAGTCCTCTTAGTTTTTGATAGTTATGCACAAGAAACACTGCAAATTCTACCCACTGCCTTCATCCTGCCACTCCACCCAAGTTTTCTCGGCACTTTCAGACCTGCACAGTAAAGACAACATTGTTCCTGGGTAAACACCCGACCTAAGGGCACAGCATACCCTGAGCAGGTCCTGTGAACCACTTAAACCCTGTCTGAATTTTAGGCAGGGGGTTGTGTGAGATTTAAAAGCTTTCTGCTGCATGTCTAAGAGACTAGATATTGAACAATCAATGCAGAAGGAACTTGATCTTTGAATGAACTCCATACAGTAAATAGCATCATCATGGGAATACAATCAGTCCCTGAGCATTTTCCCTCTTCTCTCAGCTGCAGATACTTTGGCAGAGGGGTTGGAACTACATGATATTTAAGGTCCCTTCTAACCCTAACCCAAAGATCTGTATTTTCAACGGATCACATACTGCAGAAGTGATCACAATGTTACATCAGGGAGATACTAAATATGTGAGGAAACGTTCAACATCTCCCATGGAACCCAGATAACTCACCACTGATGGCTCATTCCTTTGTCACACATCATACACTGCTCTCAGAGAAAAAGAAGTCCAGATCACTCCCAACTATGAACCAACACACCTGTGCTCATTATGTCTGCTGCCAGTGAACAATTAATTAGCAAAACCTTTGTTCATAGTTGGGGGACAGGGGGAAGAATTGTGTGTTCCCTGTGCACACCGTCTGAGATTACAAAATAAACCACTAAATGAGATTATTTTCTTAAATACTCATTTTGGTACATTTCTTTGCTTGCTCAAGTGTCCTCTAGAAACACTCACATGACAGAAACACCAAGCAACAGTTCACACAGTGGATTTTAACCTTTCAAAGATTCAACATCTAACAAATCCATCTAATATTTCTGAAGTTTTATAGCTTAACATACAAACTTTAACAGTGTCAGGTTATTTAGAATATTTTGCCTTTGATGCTGAATATTAACATAGTGGTTAGTGAGAGATTTTGAAGGAACTCTTAAGCCTCTCCTTTTGAAAGCTAGGTTTGTATTCTGTAAATCTGGTGCATGTCAGTTAGGACCTCCTAGAAGGTAAATTCTGGAAGAACTAATAGCATAATAAAACAGTATATGTAATGATACACTGGACACAATTAAACACTAGCCCAAGAAAGCCTCAAAACCATGGCAGCATTATCTTCTCAACTGAAACCAGCAGTAACACCACAAAAACACCAACATTAACCTTTATCCTTTCTTCCTCTATGGGTGAGATAAAGGGAGAGCTGCATTTATGACAGACTCAAGACTTCACTGGGGCAAACCCTAGTGCTTAGGCTTTCTGTTATTCTCTAGAAGAGAACAGACACTACAAATGTCTGGCACATAGCCTGCTGACCCCTGCAGACAGCCAGGTCTGAGGTCTCCCACAAACAGCTATTTGTTTTAATTTCAACAATCATTTTTCATCAGTCTCAGACCTCAGATGTTAGAAGGTATCTGAGAAGAGAAAAAAATTCAGGCCTTAAGCCATCTGAATTCATTTCCATCTCTAAGCAGGGATATGCACAGTGCGAACTCTTCCATTCTCCCACTTAAAAGGCTTCACACACACACACACAAATCTTTTTGTGCTTGCAACAGCGAGAAGGAGGGGGAGGAGAAGTGACACAAAAAATGTATCTGAAGGCAAAACTTTTTCCAGCAAAAAATATATTTCAAAAAGTAACTCCTGTATTCCTTTGTTTCTAAAAAGGACTAAAACTGACTCCTCCAAAACATGCACTTTGCTGAAATTTGTCTCTTTATCGCTCACTGTTGTGAGGTGAGTTAGTAGGCCATGTTGCTAACCAAGAGAAAAGGTAATGTACCATTAGAAACTTGTATTTCTCTTCCCATATGCCCTGCTTTGGGGAGGGTGGTGGTAGATTTGACATCATTTTATAGCAGCAACAATTAGGGTAAAAAAACCCAATAGACAATTTTGGGTCTAGATCTCACACACTGGCTGGTGTGGCCATGGGCCAACATCAAGTGTGCTGGCAGCTGAGCAGCACAGAGTCAATGAACCATGCCTGAAATTACATAAAAGCCAACACTGTCCGTGAAGAAGGAGCACTGTGGATTAGATTATGGAAAATGGCTGTCTCTTGTCAAAGTACTTCCAAATCTAGACAAAAAAACATGAAAAAAATGGGGGATTAAAGACTGTTCACTCTACTCTGGGCAAAAATGAGGAAAAATAACCTCAACTGCTGAACTAGAACTGCTACATGGCTACTCTGAAGCACAGAGGAGGGCAGTGAAGGATGTGGAACTCTCCTGAGCTCTGGGAAAGGTGGACTAAGCTGCCAGAGAAATTTATGACCAGGACTATTAGCTTCCTGTCTTTGATGTCTATTCTTGGCTTTCCAGGAGCATTATGGCATTCATGAGATGAAAGAAGCACTGGAGCCAAGGTCAACTAAGGCTGATGCAGCCTGTTCTACTGCAAAGCTGAGAAACTCACTCTGAACTGCTTCAAGCCTGAAGACACTCCACTGAGGGCCTGAGCTTACTTCCACTGAATCAGTGAGAGGGTTTTTGTCAGCTTCATGACAGTGTGATTTCACCTCCAAGCCAAAACATGAATCAGAGATCAACCTCCCAGTAAAACATGCTGTAAGGGAGAAGACTCCTAATTTGTCCAGCACAAATGTTTTCAAAGCATTAGCTACACCTTAATAATTCACAACTAAAAAAAACCTCAAAAAAGCAGCTTTCAATAATGCAATAAAGCATTTCTTAAAACCAAATTGAAAATAGATCCATTCAATTTATTTTCAGACAAGAATTAATATAACTCTTTATTAAAAGTGAATTCTGGCCACAGTCTTGCAAGGTGCAGACCACTCACCAGTTTTTGCAATGACTGAATGTTTTCAGAGCTTAGCTGGGTGTGTCCTTCAATGAAGTAAATCGCAGTAGGAGCTGGTAATTAACTGGTGATGATGGCAGTCATTGACAATTTAGGATCCACAAACTGTCCATAAAAAAAACTTTCAGAACTACCAATGGCCAAGGACAAAGGATCTAGGCATCTGACTCTGAAGTTGTGGGTTTCAGGATAATAAACCACAGATACTTATCAAACTTTTGCTTCATCTTTGTCACTTGCAGTGGAAGCCTACGTGCTGAAGTTAAGAAGGTGAAAGTCAGGTAAATGTCAGAAATCTTGGGAAGAGGATTCTGAGATGAATCAGCCATTTAGCTGATCACTATTTGGTGATTTAAAAAAAAAAATAGCAGAATTCGTTAAACTTTGACAAATAAAAGTATGAAGCTGCTAGTTCAATTTCAATTTAACAGGCACAACTGTTAGATTTAGTAGGAAACATATGGCCTATAGGGTCAACCTTTCTCCAATTCAAGCACATGGCAAATTTCCCTTCAGCCATGGTCAGGACCATACCCTTTGGTCCCAAGTGAGCAAAGCACTTAGAAGCTGAAGTTGAGTATATTTTAAGTATGTTCTGAAGTGCTGAGCTGAGTGAAGAGTCTCGTTGTGCTGCTCTGTAATAGAGATGTATGTTTGTAATACGGGCAATTTGCTGAGGCCAAAAATGTAGGTCTTGAAACCTCTTTTGAGAATCAATTATTATTATTTTGATTAGACATTCCCTTGCAGAGTTTGAAGCTTAAACATTGTGGCATTGAGCTAATGCAGATGAACCAGAAAGGCACAGTGCATTAGCCGGTAACAAATCTCTCAGCTGAATAATCTAAACCCAAGGTAGTTTCTGATCTATGGTCCAGAGAAGACCTGGGAACTATTAGCAAGAGGCCTGTGAAAGGCAGCTAAGACGAGCAAGTCTATTTTTGCTATACAGGAATCTACCTACGTGAAATGTCTTAAATAATCTCCACACTTCCATGGAAAAAACACACACATTTGTGGGGATCAATTTAGAAGGATTAAACTCCACTGATTTGAAATATTCTAATGTGAAAGAAAGGTTCACCTTTCTTGGGAAGTGCTGAGATGTATAGCTTTGGCTAAGCCTCTGTCAGCATCCTACCAACACACATCTCATAGAAACACTCAGAGAAACACTTCTTGAGATCATGATTTAAAACCCTATAAAAACCCAAGAATCAGAATTATTATTTTTCAATAAAAAGTGATATTTCACTATACTTTTTTATAGTTATCATAAAATGACACAATAAATAAACAGTCTTAACAATTTCTTGTACTAGCCAGATCTCCTGTCTCTTGATATTCTGATCAGATCTCCTGATGTTCTGGTCTGACCCAACTGTGCATGGTACAGGAAAAATACAATCTACACAACTGTCTTAAGTGACTGTTTGAGCACTAGTTCACACTGCAAAGTCACAAAAAAAATAATTTCAAAAAAAGTTTATGCTTCAAGTCACACCCTCTTTTCTCTACATATATAAGAATTTTCCTTCCCTTTTCTTCCTGTGGCAAAGTAGTTAAACAAGTAAAAGAAGTAAAATGCTGAAACACACCTTTGCAAAACAAGAAGCTGATCAAAACTGCCTTGGAAAGTATTTAAAAAAAACCCAAACCTTAAGCATGCCCAAGGGCTAGACAAACTCAGCTGCTTGGAAAAAAAATCCACAAACTAATCACAAAGCTTTTTTTTCTCTCCAGCTCCACAGCAGTATGAATGCTGCTCTAGCCTAAATCCTTCTCTGGTGCCCATGAGATAAGAAGGCTACAGAAACCTGCTCAAGGCATCTTCGCAGAAGTCACACAGGCCCAGAGCTGGCAGTGGGATGATGGAAATCTACTTCCTGTCCTGGAGCTGCCCTAAGTCAAGAAGCCCTACACTCTCTCTGTCTGGAAAATTGGACAGTATTATATCCCTCCATATGCTAAGAAATGAGTGAAATACAAGGGAAAAAAAAGTCCATCAACAAATAAAAGGCATCAGAAAGGAGGCATAGCCAGTTTTTGCTCTTCATTCACTTCCAGCAACCCCAAAGTGGTTTCTCGGATTTGGTACCCTGGCTTCTCAGGGACTAGAAGTTTTGTAGAAGTCAGGCTTCAGTGCCAGTTTTGAGAGTAATTTTCAAATCTGACTATGATAGCTGAGAACAGAAAGTTTTTCTTACTAAATCAGAATAGGATATTGGATATATGAAATACCAAAATATTGCATGCACTAGAACCACAGTCATAGCTTGATTTTCCCACAGACAATATTTTATGGGTCTTCTTCACCACATTTACAGTAAGTACTGTTTATTTCCATTTGTTGACTAGAAAGTGCAAAACTTTCCTCTGTCTAGTATAAAATAACCTGTCAGTAACTAATTCATCAGAGATTCAGTTTTGCTCCTGGTAAAATCAATGGCAGATGTCCCAGGGATACTGATGGCAGCAGGATTAAAGTCAGCACTAGAACAGTGTTTTACCACCCGATTCCTGAAGGTAGTTCCTTGAATGTTCAATTGTACACACATGGACAGCTAAACCTCACCAACTTCTGCAGGACTCTTTAACAGGTGAAACAATTCACAATTTTCAGCATCAGCCCCATCATCATGCAGACAACTCAGTAACTGCTTTTGTATTGTTTAAATAACTACTTGAATGTTGCACATGCCTGGAGAAGAAAGTCTGTTACTATCAACAAAGTCACTTCTCGTCCCCTAAATGCTAGTTCTAAAATGTATTTACAGCTGTTGACTTTCCCTGCATACTACTCCTATCATAAAAAATATGTCTTCAAAACATCCTCTTCCTTTATTTTTAATCCTACCAAAGCAAAAATAGATACTTTAATAGAAAAATACAAGATAAAAAATATCCTAAAAATAAAACGGTAGCATGGAATGTCATTTTTACACAAAAAAAGATCCCCTTTTGAATTGCGTCAGCTATACAAACACTTTCATATTTACAGTTTTGGATGCAGTCCTGTGCTCACTGAAGTTAATGGGATTTTGCCACTGACTTCACTGGGAACAGGAGCAGGCTCGACATGGCCTATATTTGCCACTCTGAAAAGTCATGGCAGTGGAGAGAAAAAAGAGTGGTAAAACACACGTAAGAATGACGAATTTAACAGTCCTCTCCAAGCCCTGATTGTCTTCTCTCACTGTTTCACACTAATGAAACTCCTCATCCTTCACTGGAGATTTTTGTAACTCCCAGCATTTAAGGGGGAGAAACAGTGCTTCTGATTGTGGTACCACACAAACAAGGGAAGAACTGCTTGTGTGTTTCGACGTGCCTGACTTTCTCAGTAGAGTTAATTACACCCAAGTGCCAGTTTCCTTGCAGAACTAAACTCCGTACACCAAATTCATATCCCCTATAACCAATGGCAGTGATTCAGTGATGCAGGATCATACCCCAAATAAATCTCTTTTTTTTCCTTTTGACAGCAAACCAGCACCTGCACCTGTGAAACCATATTTGATACCCAAGGGTGAGATGCAATTATGGAAGGAGGTGGCAGAAGCTAAAAAAACAAAAAAGAAAGGAACACAGTGAGGCATTCCCCATCAACTAAACCCAGATCTGCTGCCCTCAATACATGCCTTAAGAAATACTGTCTTTACATATCAAGTACACCCTATAACATCAAACCGCATAATTTTCTTTTTTCATGAGATGAAAGGCCCTGCGGCACAATGTGATTAGTAAATCATTCCTGAGCTTCTGAAAGAAATTAGGACAAAATTACTGCTTAAAAGAGTATGTTCTTCAAGAGCCTCTTCTTTTTACACTGATGTCTTTGGTTGTGTCCTTTTCCCTATTTTTTTTTCCCTAGGAAGAATGGGATTCTTTTTCCTCTTCTTTATGCAGCAGAAAAATGAGATCTAATAGAGTCTTCACGTAACTGCCGATGTTTCCCCATGTTACAGTCCTCCCGTCGAGTTCGTCTCTCAATAGTTATTCTGTATTTCTTTCTGCATGAAAGGAGAACAACAGAGTGAGAAATCCTTTTCCAGCTATAGGCTAACAGACTTCCCTTATAAAGAATGCCTGTAGGGGACAGCTGGGTGCCAGTTGAAAAACGAAATGTGGCAGAATGTGAAACCCCGGTCAAAGATTAAAGTCGTTTTCCTCAAAACATTTTACCCAGGCTCAAGAATGCCTATTAATTTCTACATGGCAGTCTCAAAGCACCAAGACACAGACATTTGCTTCTTTGAAAATTTCTGATCTAAGTGATTAGGAGTTTTTGTGAAGTGCCATGTGAACTGTGTCACATCACTGCTTTATATTGATCAAAGACAAATTTCTTTTCAGTATGTGGGGTGGGGGGCACTTTCTCGAGAGTTCAAACAACAGAACTGACTAGTCAGTTGCATTTCTCACCGAAACCATGTATTAACTAACTAATCTTCCCATTTCCCCCTGAGAAAGCTACTATGTTTGTAATGTCAGATGAGGTAGTAGGATGAATTAAGGGGAGGGATGTAGAGGACAGATAAGAAATAAACAGAAATGCTCATGCTTCAGACACAGCTGTCCTGTGTGTCTTCCTCTAGAGCCTTCTGAAGAATTCTGCTATGTTACTTTATACGTCAAACAAGCCCTCTGACTGCTTCTCAGCTTCCCATTTGGTACCCAAATCTGCTCTGAAAATCATAAGACAGTTCACATTTATGTTTTAGATGTTTATGCTTCTCCTCAGTTTCAGGACAAATTTTTTTCCAAGGGCGTTAGTCCATGTGGAGATGCATGGCAAAAAGCTTGTATGCTAAGGAAAGCTCTGCTCCACTTGCATGTGTAATCAGAGTCAGAGCATATGTAACAGTGGAAGAATGATTTTCAAAACACCAAGGTTTCAATCTGGGTAGCACGGCAGAACAGAAAGCAGCAAACTGAAAGTTCTGAAAATATCCCCTAGATATTTGTGTGTGTATCATAGGCTCCTAAATAACTTGAAAAAACGGTGTTGTTTACTTCCTTTATGTATTTTTATGTCAGATCCTTCCATGGGTCAGAGCGTGCATAGCAGTAGCTCTTGCGAAAGGACAGGTCCACATTTTGAATATAGAGGAGTTTAATTTTAAATCCTATCAAAGCTACATTTCAGAACTCCTACCCAGATATTTTAACAGTTTGCATGCACACTCAAATACATGTTTGCATACTCATTTGTGACAACTACAGATCCAAATGAGACACAATCAAAAGGTACATATCCAATTTAAAAGGTACAAATTACTTTCGGGTATACAATTGCTAAACTTATATTTTCTGAAAATCCAACCCATGCATCCTGTTATGTTATGTTTCAGATATTTATTCTACAGGTGGATTAAGAAGGTTGTCCCTACTCCTGCTCTGAGCAATTGCAATCAGATGTCCAGGATGAAATTCACATATGTGTCTTCAGGTATCTCCAGTGTGTAGATCCACCTGACAATACCCACAGCTTCCTTCAGTTAACAGAGGGAAGCAGGCACTTCTAAGAAACATTGTTCTGACCTGGCTTAGTTTTTACATGAGGATGACATGAACTGCAGAGAAAAAGAGCACTCATTTCTCCCCTCTGACTATATATAAAAACACAGTGTGTTGAGCTCAGGTGTGTACATCTACTTTTACAGACACCCTCCTTTGCTCACATGGATTTCCAATCCAAACCTTTGTGCCAATTGAGTTTAAGTCCCGTTTTTACAATGATACTTGCCATAGCTTTATACCAGCTCAGGATATCTATTGCCTCATTTCTTGTCATTACATACCAATTGTCTCCCACTATCAGCAATGCTAAAAACCACACCTAACAACTGTAATCTGATTGTGAACCTATATAAGACGCAAGAATCTCTGATTACATAAAATACAGAGACAGACTTGTATTTTCTTTTTCTTTTAATGATAGTCTTTAATCTGTCCAAGCTACCTTAATGTTGTCTCAAACCCAAACAACATATTATATAAGCACCGAACACATGCAAGATTAAAATCACCCTGCAGAATTTCAGTTGTAAGCACCTGATGAATAACCCTGGTTCTGGGACCTTTGAAGTGTCTCACTGAGTTGAAGCAGTTTTTGCTTGTTTTATTTTATTAACTTTTTAAATAACATATATTTTTAGTGTATAGATTTCATTCTTATATGAAGAGATTAATTCTTTCTCCTGTATGTCTTTTCTCCTCCATATCATGAGGATACATTGTTGTATATATAAGGTGCTGAACATGTATAACTAATTTATTCTATCAGGATCAGCTATCAAGACTTCACATTTGCTGACTAGCAGTGTTAAGAGTTATTTAACTTAAACAAGAATAAAACACTGATCCCCCTACACTGACCCCAGCTTATTACGTTAAATGCACAGCTTTGGTATCCAAATAATCTCTCATACCAAAACAGAAATCTCTGTTTCTCAGTACAATTCCACTCAACACTCAAAAAATAAGCTTGGTACCAGGCAAGTGATGTAAATCTCTTGCACAATCACAGGCTGCACAACTGTGCTGGCAAGGAGTACCAAACAAAGAAGGCTTTCAAGGCCAGAGCATTTTACTAAAGCAACTGTCAATGTCTGGAACCCACTGCAATTACTTCCATGAGTCATATTATTCGGAGACATAAGTATTTACAGGATGAAGACCCAAGTCAATAAAATTACTTGGATAAACACAAAGAGACAATCAAAATGTGCTCACTGTCTTTGGTGAAATTGTTACCACAGATTATTATGGTGTCTCTCTGACTCACATCAGCAATGTTCTGCCAGGAGCTGAGATGTTTAGACGACAAATTAAAAGTTTACAAAATTTCAATTGGACTAACCTGAAAAAGTAAAAAGCCATTAGCAATCCTGCTCCAAGCAAGGCGCCAACAACTATTCCTGTAACTGCTGATTCTCCTAGACCACCTGCTTGAGAAGGGGAAAAATAAATAATCAGGATTCATATTGAGAACTGTTTGCATTCATGTATTGGAAAAAAAACACAAGTAGGACCAACACCAAATAATAACTAAAATCTTTCAGAGCTCAGGACTCCATGGGAACCTGTTCCAGTGTCTGCACATTTATTTTTTGTACAAGCTTTCCTTGTAATTAAACAAGCCTCCAAAACCAGTGTCAGATGAAGACACAATTCTGGAGATACAAGGGAATGTTGTTAGGAAACTTCTCTGGAAAACTTAGTCTGAATCATAACACAGACTGAGATTACAGTGACGCACATAATGGGAATCAGCACTGAGTATACCCTGAGTCATTATAACAGAAACAAACTCATTTCACTTGGTTTACCATCATACACCTCTATCACCTGGGTTTATTGAAATGACTATGATTATCCAACAGTTCTTTTGAGTGGTTCTTTGTGGTGGTTTTTTATTTGTTTGTTCTGGGGGTTTTGGTTGTTTGTTTGTTTGGGGGGTTGTGTGCAGGTTTTTTTCCTGAAGATATATTGTTTCAAGTTAAAGCCACATGAGCTTCACCTTGCTCCAAATCTCAACAGAGGCAGAGCAGGGACATAGTGGCTGAAGGGCAGCCCAAGCAGGGACTGTCACTGGGAAGTGCAGGGCAGTTAAAGAACAATGGCATTTTCACCTGCATGTAGTCTGCTCCCATGTCCACCTGGGTTTGTGGAAAGGAACAGAGAAATATTAAGGAAATTAAACTGCTCCCTTGTCTCTTTGAAGAGATTTTATCTGTACGTCAGCAGAGGGTGCATAGCTACACCATACTGATCATAGAGGGAAACAGTCTCTACATCATGTGTGTATACACAGGTTTTCCAAGGACTGAAGAATTATCAGGCTGGAGTTACCTTTTCACTCCAGGACCAGCAATTTCTTTTCTGTGAAAAGCTAAGACAACCCTTTGCCACTGAGGCACCAGTGTCCTCCTATCCTGATCTCCTTTGCAATGTCCTGCTCCCTACAATGTGGTCCAGAAAGTCAATTTGCTGGAAAACATCAACACCTGCTCTGTGGAGGATAGTCTCACCCTTCAGAATTCATAGATGTTACCCACTCAAACGACTTCACTTCTCCTCAGCCTACTGGGCCCCTCACAGCACTGAAAATCATACTGCGCTGGGAGAACACTGCTCCCATCAGCTCAGGCAGGACAGCTGCTAATTACCAATGTGATAATTCTGTTTGGGGTTTCAATTATATCCTTCTTTCTGGCTAAAAGGCCCCAGGAAACTCCTAAAGCCTCCAGGGTTCTGTGCTGTGCATCACAATTGCTGTCGAGTTTAAATTCAGGGAAGTGATTCAGGCCATGTAGTACCCACAGCTGCCAGACCTTTACTTCCCAAGCAGTTAGCAGAGAGAGACAGTCACCGTGTCTCAGCTGGACAACTGCGCTAAGGCAATTTGTTACCACCTGTTATGTTGCATCAACACATGGATTCCTCTCTCCTGAGCTGGGGCAGAAGCATTAAGTCACTAAACTTACATGATTTACATGGTGTATTGTTTGTGTGCTCTGAAACTCGGCTTTCATCTAGCCGCAGCCTGCCATGATTCCAAGGGTATTTCACATTTGATCGAATCTCAAAACGCCCCTGCTTTCCGTAGTAGTCCCCGATTACCTGTGCAAAACAAGAAAGGAATGAAAATATTTTCCTATCAACATGGAGAAGTAAAACAGGAGAGCAGCATCACTCAGTTGGACTCCTGTGGCACAACCCTGAATCTCAGAAGAAGAGGGCTGAAGAGGTCTACCGAGGTTATGTAACGCATGCACTGCCCCAGGGCAGAATCAGCTGAGTAAAAGCATTCCTGACAGATACTTATCTAATCTCTTCTTAAAAGCCTTCAAAGATGAAAACTTGACAATTTCTTCAGGGAATTATCCTGGAACTTAGCTAGTCTTACTGTCAGTTGTTTTCCCTAGCATGTAACCTAAAATTCCTTTGCTGCAATTATCCATCACTACTTACCCACTTGTCAGTGGACACAGAGACTCTTCCTTTCTGAAACACTGCTTTACATATTCACAGGCTCTTATCTGGTCTGCCCTCAGGCTTCTCTTCTACATAAATCCTGGGGTTTTTTAAAGATTTTTAACCTTCTGAATATTCCTCCTTCCTCCCTGGGCCTTCTTCACTTGCTTCATAGTGGGTTGAGTGCCCAGGACTCTCATGCAATTAAGTGAAACTATCAGTAACTAGACATGAGTCCAGACTGAGAGAAGAACTCATTGAGAGCAGCCCTGCCAAGAAGGACTTTTGGGTTCTCACAGCTGACAAGCTGAACATGACCCAGCGATGTGCACTCACAGCCCAGGAAGCCAAACATGTCCTGGTCTGCATCCAAAGCAGTGCTGGCAGCAGACCAAGGGAGGTGATTCTGCCCCTCCACTCTGCCCTTGTGAAACCCCAGCTGGAGCAAAGAATCCAGCTTTGGGGTCCCCAACATAAAAAGGACGTGGCCCTGTTGGAGTAAGTCCAGAGGATGCCACAAAGCTGATCAGAGAGCTGGAACACCTCTCCTGTGAGGAAAGGCTGAGAGAACTGGGGTTGCTCAGCATGGAAAACAGAAGGCTCCAGGGAAACCTCATTGCAACCTTCCAGTACGTATAGAGGGTTATGAAACAGAGAGAGGTCGACTTTATCACAGGCAGGTAGTGACAGGACAAGAGGGAACAGATTTAAACTAAAAGAGGAGAGATGTATATTAGGTGTTAGGAAGAAATATTTCGTTGTGAAGGTGGTGAGACACCGGTACAGGTTGCCCAGAGAAGCTGAGGATGCCCCATCCCTTGAAGTGGTCAAGGCCAGGCTGGATGGGGCTCTCAGCAATTTGGTCTAGTGGAAGGTGTCCCTGCTTAGGGTAGGAGGGTTGGAACTGGATAATCTTTAAGGTCCTTTCCAACCCAAGCCATTCTGTGGTCCTAAGGTTTTATGATTTCAAGCAGATTCAGTGCTGAGACTTCCAAGCACACATTCTAGGGTGGAGTTTTCTATTTTTTCAGAATGTGAAGGTACTTGACCATAGTCAGTTAAAATCTTCAAATCCTCTGAAGAACTATGACAGATACTTTAGAATTTCAGTCCTGTCTTCAACAGTTAAGCCTAGGCTTTTTTTAAGAAAAGATGTTGAATCTACTGTAAAATGCAGAACTAAATTGTGCCAACAGTAGCAGTTCACTAATCTGAAAACAGACTAAACACATCTATGCACAGTAAGCAAGGCAAAAAATCATGACACTGAAGTAGTCAGGAACAGTGGCAGAAGCACATCAAAGGGTGTATTTGCCCCACCATGGATAAAACCCAGGTATTAATACACTGAGTTTAGAACTCAAGGCACTCAAGGCCTGTCCAAATCTTTCACCTAACTTTCATTCTGAAATTAATGAGTTTAGAGGACATTTGCTCTGGTTAGATATATGAAAGTAGATTTTGAACTAGCTGAAGGAGCTAATTTCTCTCCCTGTTGCCACTGGAATATAAATTCTTTGAAGAAAGAGGTTTTTAATATTTGTTCACAAATAAAGGCAAATTCAGTAATCTGGAAAAAGTAGAGGGAAAAAACCTCAGAGACAATTTGCAGGCAGCAAATTATTTATTAAATGATGGTTTAATTTATCAAACAGGAGTGCGAAAGTCCTCTACCTGCAGAACTTACTAAATACAAAAGTATTCAGAACGGCTTAAGAACAAAAAGTTATAAGCAGCAACCAAGCAGATTCAGATCAGAAGTACAACACAGATTTTTAAAGAACAGGAGTGGTTAAACAGTGGAACAAATGCTGAGGGAACAAGTAAGGCAGTCCCTGTTCTCTCAGTGTCTCCAAAGAAAAAATGAATGCCTGTTACAGTGTGAGCTTTAGTCACATTTAAACTACAGGGCTCCATACAAGGGTAAGAAACTTGACTGTCTGTAAAATAGTAGAGGTCAAACTAGGTAATCTGGAGTTTTCTTCTAGCTTTAAAGTGTGTGAACAGACCTGGGAAAACAGCTCTACCTGAACAACCATTCATCTGGCACAGTTCAGCTGAGAAATGTTCTTGTACAGACACAGACAAAGACTGCTCAAATGAATAAAGTTATTGAAGAAACAGTATTTTTAGAGTAAGAGTAGAAATGATGTAGCAGATAAGTGGAAGTAATCACATGTAAAACGTTAATTGCATGCATATTTTATACACAAGAAAGAAGAGAAATTGAACAATACCTTAAAAGAATAAATGTAACACTAAAAATGTAAAAGATAGTTTACATTTCAAGTAAAAGAGCAATGGAAGGGAGGGTAGGAGAGGGAGATTAAATTGGTAAACGAGAGTAAAAAGCTGAAGAATTGAACAAACAGAAGAAATACAGGTTGTTCAAACCAAAGTTATCACAACCAACTAGTACTCCTACTGGCCCTCTGAGTGTCTGCGGTTTACTGCTGTAGTTTTTCAACCACTTTTATCCCCTAAAGCACAAAAGACATCCTCATGCTTTTAAAAAGGCTTCTTGAGTTGTCTCTGCTGCAGCACTGACAGGAGCAATTTAACTTCACTGGATTCAAATCCACACACGGAAATGTCCAGCTCAGATGCACTGCTGCTTTATGGTTGAACTTGATGAAACAGGGCAGACCAGCAAAGCTTAGGCTGACACCGACTTTGCAACTAACAAAAGCTGCAGCTGGAGTTAGAGTAATGAACGTATTAATAAGCTTAGCCCAGAGACGCTATTTTTCATATCTTTCACCTCTTCTGCATCCAGTGGAATAACCTATGTGGCGTATATGGAGCCATCTGATTAAAATGTCTCAAACACTGAAAACAAGGCACTCACGCCTGATAAACAAGGCCAGGCAAGCTCTGCACTCTCGTTTGTGGTCGATCTCAGTGTAAGACTGAAATATATATACTTGCTGCGTTAATACATCAGGATAACTTGTGCATCACTGCTGCTGTAAGATTAATCTTTTTTCCTACCAATGAATAAAAGGCCTTGCTTTAAACAGTAATTTCTCATATTCAAAATTATCATTGCTTAGCTACCTTGTGAGAATTCACTCTTTAGTTAAAGGCTAGCATCATGTGAAGAAAGATGTATTGTGAAAGAAAAGAAGTTTAAAAAACCTTTGGATAGCTACTTCAAGATAGTTATTTTGCAGAAAGGATTTGGTCTTTAAGTTGATAGGGTTAAGCCACCAAGTAAAGAGATGATGCCATGTTACATTACACTGGCTAATTCATAAGTGGCCAAGTGCAGTGGTGTTTGTTTCCTTACCTCCTGCGTGCCTGCCTCTGGGTCTGTCATTCCAATCACAGAGAAATCCCCGTATCTGTCTCCATTAGCATCAATGGACACCTGCCCTGCAATGCCTAAAGAATGGCATGTGAGGAATCAGAAAATTCATTAGTTAAAATACTGAGCGTTTTCAAGGAACACAAGAAAACAGTGGACAGGTTTTTACAGACCGATATGACAGGAAATCTCATCAGTCTCCCAGCATTTTTGTTGGCATTCCAAAAGAAATTGTAATTTCATCTCGGTGTCTGCATTCCTGAATTCTTAACATTTCTCCTTTTAAATATCAAATGGGTGAGACTTTTTGGATACTACGTGAGAAAAATCTAATCCAAAAGCCAGTATGTAAGAATAAAACACAAATACATTTAATGTGAATTATTTACAGAGAGCCTAACCCTGAATATCTAATGGTGCCTCAATAAAGAAAGCCCAGCTCATGTGCTGCACAGGACATAGACCTACATCCCACAGACTGCACTGACACAGCCAGTATGTGTTGAATGTTGTTTCCATCTAATGAGATACTGGAGAGGGTATGAACAAGAGGCACCATGTGCACTACATATGCATTAAGCCCAGCATTCATTTACATAAGATTAACTACATAATATGATGCTGTTTGTTATACATTCTTAAATCTATAGTAAACTTCCTTCCTTTACAACTTCTTGGAAACTTTAGGGAAGCTGGGAATCATAGACTAATAGGATATCTCAAGTTTGAAGGGGCTTCAGTAGACAAAGAGCCCAATCTCCTGCTCAGACCAGGGTCAGCCACGAGGTCAAAATAGAAGGATGGCCAGGGTTTTATTTGGTCTCCAAAAAACTGCCAAGGATGGAAACTGCACAATCTCACTAGGGCAACTTGTTCCAGCTGTCACACATCCTTGGATTCAGTCTGAATCTCTTCTTAAATCCTTGTCCTTGTGTAAAAAGAGTATGGCTCCAAATTCTTGCTGCGTAAGTAAAATTCATTCTTAAAAGGCAACAAACAGCACCAATTAACTATGACGAAGACATAATAAAGTTGTGGATATGCTTTATCACCTCAGATACTCTCAAATGTCATCCCCCACTACCTGACAACAAACACAGTCATTTATACATGTGCAAGGCAAACAGGCATCACTGTATATTCATGTTACACCAACCACATGACCAGAGCAGACACAAAGCTGTGGAGATTCAGGCTCTCAGTGGTGGTAAACCAGAAGAGAAAAGTCAGATATTCAGTCAAAGTATAAATTCCCCTCAAATGCCTAATCGCAGTGAACATGCAACAGACTAACGCACCGTCATTCATCCTGTCTCTGTTCTGATTTAGATAAGTCAGGAATGTTTTGACTTGCTGTGATTTTCAAAATATGTAGTGGTAATCAAAGATTGTTGCCAAGCATCTGTTTCATTGTAACAACACAGCAATCAAACAACTGCCAATTCGATTAATGGAGGAAAACAGAATGGGTGTAACACCCACTTGGCTGTGAGAGCAATGGAAGAAGAGCCCACTATGAGGAACTGTGATGTCCTTGCCTACACAGCAGTTTGGATTCTGAATCTGACAGGACGTGTTCATTGGAACACAAACCTTCCTAGCCTAAGACACTAAAAATTTTTGGAAGTAGGTACTAATTATTGAAACTCAGAATTCCAATGGGATTTTTTTTTTTTTTTTAGTAGGAAGGACTAATTTCTGTATTTTCCATCTGAATCAAAATACAGAGTTTGGAAGGTTGACATTTCCTGCAGTGTTCTTCCTTAAAAAACATAGGTAGGAAATTTTGAAACAACCTTGATTAAGAACTGCATTTGGATGAAGGTGGAAGGATTTTATCTAGACTCTCTTTTTGCTCTGTTATGTGAGATACATACAGATACAGATAGAACATTTTGCTACTTTTTCAGAGGAAATTCCAATGAATAGAAAATAAGTCTCCACAAAACATGCCCTGCAGTCACACCAGGGTGTCTCTAACAACCCAAGCAGTAAGAAAGAGACCCTTTGATCACCTCAGACATAACCCTTCCTAAGCACATGATGTCTATTCAGTTGTAACTGGCAGATGGAATGCTGCAGCAAGCAGCATCCAGATCCCCTTGGGAGTCCTGATGGGTCAGACCAGGCTGTAACATGAAGTGCCAAAGAACTGAGATATCTAAATGTCAGCAGTTGAATTAATGTAATTAATGTAATTAATTCAACTGAATTTCTCATCATTGAGGCCAGAAATACTTGAAAATGAACGATAAAGCCTCAGTCCTGCAGCAGAGCCTGATGGGTGTGTGCATGGACCGCACTCTGTGATGCTGCAGCCACTGCAGAGAAGGGTTTACAGGAAGAAAAGAGGGACATGATCTTCCTGAAAGAACTGGATTGAAAGACACCAAATTAAAGGCCTCTTCCAAAATCAGATTTATGCCCTGCAAAATACTGCCATGGGGAGGAAATGGCATATGTCTTACTAGGTGTTTTGACCTTGTCATCTGCACCCTCACAGCACACCTTGGCAGCTACATTTTCAGAGTAAGTGTACACAGATCAGCAACTAACAACAACTTGGTTTTCACAAGTGAGGAAAGACAACATTTTTCCCTCCTGGCTGATTTTACATGCAAGGTGTGAGAATCAACCATGTAAACCCCCCACGGAGCACATGTACTACAAAAGACTCGCATGGGCACACCAGCCGGTGGCTTCCTGGAGCACAGAAACAGGAGTAGAGAAAACACAGGCTGTACTGGGGCATCTGTTCATATACAGGACAACCAAAGAGTGAGGCAAATCCCTAGACATTAGATTCCCTCTGCTAAAACAGAGTGTTTTGGGAAGCCATGGATGTGAAGAGAGGTAGTGGGACATCAAGCACAATCTCCAGCTGGTGGAGAGCTTCTTACAGGATGACTGAAACCAGCATCATTTAAAGCAATCCCTGAGTTCCCTTAAGCTGCCCTGGGTATCCTTTTGCCTTGGGTTCAGGCCACAGTTTGAGAATAAAAAATTGTTTTGGAGCTGCTGCCCTTCTTGCCTTCCTATACTACATCCAGTGTGTTCTTAGAGCAGAGAACCTGGCTACTGGGGTTTTTCTCACACATTCAAATGAATCATTCATTTCTTATCTAGGGGAAATGTTTCCTTCTCTTAGGCATTTCCATAGGAAATCTTGCCAATCCTACACCAAATGACTGAAGTAATACATGAGATGGATGGGAACATTATAAAGAGATGGACGGATGAAACCAACAGTCCTCAGTTCCTTTACTACAATTCTTACCTGGAAAAAGAATTTACATTGCTTTGTATCAGCAAGATGACATACAAGTGCCATTTGCACTGTGGAATTGTAATGTCCAGGATTAGGCACAGAAAGGCACAGTGGTGTTCAGCTGCTGCCTCTGAGATAACATGCACAGCTCCTGAAAGGAGGCTGAGGGAAACCCTTCTAGGGCCCAAAGGAGTCCTATCGAGAAACACAAAACAACCCTAACCCTGGCACCTGCTTGCTTCTATCCATTCCCAAGGTTTTAAGATAAAAAAGTGACAGGGAAAAAATGAGGCAATCTCAGAGCTAATAGATGAACATGAGTAAAGCGAGTGGATGTAATCTTTTCAAAAACAAAGAAGGAGCCTGAGAAAATTATTGGTATTTCTTTACCACATCAGCGAGGGTCATTAAATTATTAGACTACTTTGAACTGAGTAAGACCTCGACAGTTGGTGCAAAAAAAGTCAGGCTGGTGAGGTATGTGAGCCAGCCTTAAAGATGTATGTGGTTTCATATGGTTACTTCCCTCTCACTTAAGACTGGAAGAGGCACGGGTCTTTACTCTGCACACAACAAAGACCTGAATCCTTTTGACTCCAAAATCTGGAATTCCATAGTAACTCTTACCTTCATATGTTCTGTTCCGTGTTTGCTGAACAATTTTTTCCCCATCTTTCTTAGTGAAACCAAACTTCAGGACTTCCTGTAAAGCTAGAGCATAAAGAAGAATAGCATCATGGAATCCTTCCACAAACATGTTCACCTAGAAAAGAAAGAAAGAAGAAAAAAAAGCAATGGCAATTGACACATAACAATTTTTTTTTTCCCCCTATGGAATTGATTCATTAGAGAGAATTTACAAATTAACCACAGTAACTAACTTGGAGAGTTATTTTCTCAACTGCTGGAATCCAAAGGAATGTGTCTCAAAAAAACCTCATGGGGAAAACGGCAACTTTTGACCCATTTTTAAAAACAGTTAACCACTATCTGCTATTCTGAACACTCAAATCACACTTCAGTGTTGTGTCTGAATAGCTCTGCAGATAGGGGAGAAATTCACAGATCACAGTTCCCATGCCCAGACTCACAAATACTCTCACTTAACCACGTGAGATTCTGTAAGGGGCTGAGCACCCTTATCCCCGCAGCAGTCCCACTCCCCTTGTGCAGGGGACTTAGCACGTCTCAGGACTGGGAAGTATGTTCTGTCATGATTTTTTCTGGAGAGTACAAGGGGTGTTTTTGCTTTTTTAACGATTACCACTTCCATTTCTGGCCCTTGTTCAGCCAAGCATCTCTCCATTAGCAAATGAGCAATGGAGAAAACTACTTACCCTCTCCAGAAATGTATTCTCTGGAACTGCCAGAACCTTTTCCCGCCTGTCCTTTGTAGTTTTTTTTCAGTAAGTGACATGAAATGAATAAAATGTTGCCTTACAACCCCAATACAAAAGAAAACTGCTACTACCTACCAGCCTCACATTGAGTCTACACTAGGCAAACAAATTCTAGGACAGCTTTTGTTTTGTATCACTGAGTAAGAAAAACACTTAAAAGCTGAGTGCTGCAGAAACATTACAGGTTTGCTCACAGGGAGCTTGGTGTGCTTCAGTCATGAAGCAACAATTATGGAAGGAGCTGAATTCAGATGGAGGCCCATCAGCAGAAAGAGACACACATGACTTGTATGGCACAATTATTCCTTTTTTGTAGGCAGCAACTCACACCTCAGCAATGCAATGCACTCACTTCATGCACAGTAATTCTGAATGAATTGCCTTTTCAGCTGCAAGAAAGATGTTCCCATTCACTCAGAGTTCCACTACAATAAAAAAGCTCCTGACATCCTAGCCAAGGTATAAGCAAGGATTGTACCATATTGTGGGGTCTCTAATTGCCATTCCCAGTGAACAACTCACCTCTACAAATATTGCCCTGGACAGAAACCAAATAGATTTAGTGTATCTTCCACTTCAGTGTATCTAAACAATTTAAAATGCCAGTCTTACTCTCACAGTTTTACCTGGACAGTAAAAGTGTTCAAAGACAAAAACATGCAGCCAGTTAAGCAAATAACTGCTCCATAGATAAAAAGTATTACACAGTTGATTGGCTAAGCCAAACTAATCAAACCCTGATAATGTAAATACATCCAAGACATTCCTTCACTCTTAAAGCACTTGCCAACAGTAAGGAGAATTCTGGAATTATTTACTGAATATTACAAAAGTTTACATTGCTCTCACATTTAAAACTAGACTTTTAGTAACTCCTACCTATGTTGCATTAAGAAAACATAGTATCAGTTCAGGGGAAGAACTCGCAGTGCTACAGAAGGCACAAAACAGCTCAGCTCATTCTGACAGCCTAGGCCTAAAGGACAGCTGCAGTTATTTTGAGCTAAGGAGAAAGAGAGAAAGAAGAGGTGAAAGTTAGGCTTTTGGTGGAATAACAAGAGCTGATGGACAGAGTGCATTCTAGGACAGACTTTGCCAGCAGGGGTTTAACTTTTCAGAGTTAAAAAAACCCCAACCAAACCAAGAAACCACAAAGCTCAACAACTGCTTCGTGTGCCAATGTTAGAGTCCAAGTGGTCTGTGGATGATCAAATATGGGCTTTCTTTATGTGACATTCCTTCTCTAGCCTCTCTAGTAGCTTTACCTCCCTGCTGGCTGATTTACAGCTTGTGGGTGGCACTCGTTTCAAGGAAAGCTATTTGTCACTTCCTTTGTTCATGGCAAAGACCTCTTAGTGTAACACAGCAACGTTCAAAATCCTTTCTGTCAGCTAATTTGCTCATACTGAAATCTACTCTGCCACAGGCCTGGAAACACTTGTGTAGACACTGCAGATCTGCCAGATAAGCCCTGTCAAAACTCAGCTGGTAGTCTGGGAGATTACTGTCACAGTCTCTTGCCAAAGCCCCTCTTGGCCTAAACTCCTAACATCACATATGAAAAACCACATTATAAAATTGTCAGAGGGTCATCTATGACACTGCTCAGTTGCTGAAGCACAAACTCCAGCATTTTATCTTATGTTGCCAAGGAAGGTAAAACTGTGGGTAATTATGCCATTTAAAATCTTCTAAAAGAGTAATATTTATTATTTACAGATGAGATTGCATCTACACTCCCCAGCCAAACCCTATGCTGGGCACACCTGCAACTTCTCACATTATTCCAGAAACATGTTCAAGCACCAGTTCTTGAAAGGGGATATTGGATACCATGAAGGCCATAAAGTTTCCTGCATTATCATCTTGCTCAATCATTTAGAAGTTGCTGTAATTCCATACAGACCCTGGGTTGCGTGATGCGAAAGACAGAGGAAAATTAAAGTGTGAAGTAACAGCCAGAGAAAATTTTGAAGGGATTGTTCCTTGCTGTAGAAAAGGGTTAAAAAGGGATAGAAGAAGTAGATATACATGAATATTTTAAATAAGAATCACAGTAAATATGAAGATGTCTTCACGGGTTGCTTGAAGGTGTACATGGTAAGTAATTATGTATGTGGTTCAACCTTAGACGCTCTCAGGATAAAAACTAAAGAGAGTACAAAATCTAATAGAGGTCAACTAATCTTGTATGCTATTAAAAGTTCTTTTAGTTAAGTTCTAATAAAAAGCAGAAAATTTTGATTATAGTATTTTCAATTTTCATTTATGCTCTTTTCTAATTATAGGTGCAAGCTGAGCTTCAGATGCTGTGATCACAACTTGCATAGCAACTATAAAATTGTTGTCCCTGGCCCCTTCTGCACAGCAGGGACACCCATCAGTGTGATAGCAATGCCACTGGCAGCAAAGAAGCTGCCAGGTTTGCTGAACAACTTTGGAGGCTGCAATACAAATATCTGGAAACCTCCTTCTGAGATATCTCCCATATTACTTTCACATCCTATTCAAATACCGGAAAAGCAGGTAAGCTAACTCCATGGCTAAATAAGATAAGCAAAAATATATCCCTTTTATTTTCCTCCCTTTCTACTCTAAATAATCATCTTCCATCAGGAAAAAAAGAAAAAAAAAAAAAAAAAGAAACAACCCCTCTCAATGGAAATCACATGAATAAATTTCACACAGTTCAAAGTTATAGTTCCCCAAGCAGCTATGGTGTGACCACAGTATTCATATATACCAAGGTGTTAACAGCATACACAGCAATGCAAAATACTACTGCCATGGAAAACAGCCAAGCTACAGCTATCCAGGACCCATAATTTTCCATATCCTGCCTACTAGCTGTTAAGTAAGCTTGCTGTCTCCCATCTGGAACTGCCCAGCTCTGAACCACAGCAATTACAGCAATTAATACCACTTCAGTGCCAGGTGGGGAGCATCATCAGTACTTTTCCTCTATTGCAAACAACTAACATTTCTCAAACTTGGTCTCTGCATCTACTTTCCAGTACATTCACAGCAATTTTTCAAGTTGTCAAGATACAGTTTCAGAACAAACCAGTGAGGGCCCTGGGGAACTGCAGAGGATTGTATCCAGACTTATTGCAAAAATCTTATCCAATTTACATATTTGACACGATGCTCAGGTAATACCCACTGAAGTCCACCTTCACCCTGTTTCAGATTACTCCACATGGATGAAACTAAGCAATCAAGCATGGAAGTTTGATACTATAAACATATGACACTCATCTAACATCAGGACTACAGATACAGTAAGTGAACCTTATGAACCTTATGAAGCAGTACTGTGTTACACTGTAAAACTATAGCACAATAAAAATACAGCAAAGTTCAAATACAGCAGCTATATTTAAAAAAAAATGCTATGATGTATTTCAAACCAATCTCATGACAATCTCTCAGTGAGGTGGTGGAGTCACCATCCCTGAAGGTGTTCAAGGAAAGACTGGATGTGGCACTTGGTGCCATGGTCTTTTTGACATGGTGCTGATCAGTCAAAGGCTGGACTTGATGATCTCGGAGGTCTTTTCCAAACTAACTGATTCTGTGATTCTGTAGCAAGCTTGTTCACATACTTCATGACTGAGCAATTCTCCGTAACACTTCTTACTATTTAGGTGGATGGCTTCCTATATCTCATGCTGCTTCAACATATCTCAATAAAAGTATTTTTCTAGCAGTTGCAATTAAACTGTCAGTGCTCTCTTTTTAAGCCTTCTTCAGCAAGCCAATTATAATTACGATCCTTTATTTATGAGCTTTTCTAAGAAACTCTGACATAACTTTTCTTACATGCATTCTTGACAAATGTCTTTGGTTGTGTTCCGCTGACTCACTGTAAAGCAATAAACTCCTAACTTTGGAGCAGGGACTTTTCTCTTTGGTATCATTTGTTGATGTTGCACATTCCCATTCAGGACATTGCCACTGCTGATGCTGTAGTTTCAAGTACTGGGATGCCCAGAGGGGCTCTTGGCAGTTCCTTGATGAGTTTCTATGCCCTTGCTCTGAGACGCACAAATCCAGAATATGGTGCTCGTGATTCTTATACAACAGACAGAAGTTACTCAGTTTTTTCAAAATTATTCTTTTTTAAAGATAAAACATCGTTGTTACAAACTGATTTTCTAAACTTATAGTTTATATAAACTCAGTCAGGAACTCTAAGTGGAACTGAGATGCAGATTGAGAATGTGGAGGTGAGGGGAGAATATCTTTATGCCTGAGCATTACCTGAGAATAGAGGAAGTGCATTTCACACCAGGAATATAATGTCCAGTTTCAGCTTTGCAGTAACGTTTAAGTCCTACAGGCATAACGCTACCACGTATGA